GGCCAATCGAACACGATGGTCAAAGTCCGAGTCAAGAGAGTATTTGAGAGAAGGATAAATAAAGACAGAGATGCAACCACTGTGGCTATCCTGGAATTATGAGGGAAAGGGTATATGGGAGTCCCAAAGACAGTCAAGTTCCAGTCTCGTTTGAGAGTCAAGATAAAGGTACGGGCATGGGGGCAAAAGACATTAAATTGGTCACCGAGATCAGCCTACAGATACAGTACCAAACATGCTCCAACGACAATAGATGAACCAAACGGAACAGGCACATGCAGACACGAACACGCAACTCAGTGCACCGTAACGCCGCCTGGCCAGCGAGTTTCACGTTCGAACCCGCTTCTTCCCTCCAATCCAGCGCAATGGGCAGCAGACTATCTCAGGCTTTGTCCAACTTTATCCTAGAGCAACCAGGTTGAAGGGATGCGATTTCATGGACCAAGCATCATCGAGGAAATGGTCGCGTGCTCTATTTGGTGTTGGGCGAATCAGCGTGAGGAATTGATCAACGTGGTCGGGGTAGACTTTTTGGTGGGCAAGGGTCCAGCCTCAGAAGAAGAGGAACGAGGCTTAGGTGGGCGTCCATTCTCGATGGAGAAAGACCTAAAGTTACTTGGGGTCTTTGATGGAGGGCACGAGGGTTGGTAGCGTGCGGCATTGGCACCTTTGTGACATGAAATGAAGGTCGAGGTATCATGATGCTTGTAATAAGTCACGGTTTTTAGGTGAGTGAGCTCAATTGTCTATTCACGAACGCATCTCATCCTTCACTATCGAATGAAAAAGAGATATAGTATTGAGAGACAAGGTACTAGGAGTCCGCACCGACAAATCGCCTCTCGAGCTTGGGCCCAGATCGCTCAGGTAATTAAGATCAGAACATGAGCCTACAACGAAAGATGGAGCTTGCTGAGATCTCCAAGACTCTCCAACCTTTCGTCTCCACCTCCACCCTTATGTATACACACGATACAATATGTAAATGGGGTACTTCACATTCGGCTCCGCAAGCCATTTAAAAAGCCCCGAGCAGTGAACAAAGTCAAGACGCATCATGCATCCCTCGGTTTTGAAATAGGCAAAGATATACAACCAGTGCAGAGTGGCACGTGTCCTATCTTGACCCTGGGAGCTCACAGACACAAAAAACACTCCGGGATCGATTGGGACAAGACAAGGGTTCTTTCCAACATTCGAATCAACTGTGGAACAAGAAAGGTCGCAACTAGATAATTCGTCTTTGTTATTCGTCCTTGGACTGAATTGAGCACGTGCGTGTACTTACGACGTCGACGGCTTTTTCTATCATACGGCACACCCCAGCATTTTCCCCAATCCTACTATGGATGAAATCCACCCATCACCTTCTTGGGTGAACCAACGTGGGGGAGAGACCCTGGGGCGGCTCTTGGCCAAGGACATACCCCTGGCCAGCCACGGACCCACGACCAAGGCTTGATCACGCTGCAGCGATTCAAGAACCTGGGCTTTGCTTCCTAAGCTCTTCGACGAGATACTTGATCGACAGCCAACTCTCAGTGGCCTATCACATCCAGTCGTGCTGTTGAATGTGTGTTCTTTTCCTTCTGTCATGGGCAGCCCTATAGAAGTTCACACCCGTAAGTCATCCATGTCGTATCATCATTGTCCGAACTCCGCTCCAGGTTTTGTATGCAGACGGTATAGTAGTCAGCACTTAGACCTCGTTGCTGGGGTAGGTGACCTTGGTGGTAGGAGTGAACTCCTCCTTGATTGCCCGAACATTGACGAAGCGGGTCAGGAGGTTCTGGCTGCCGGCCTTGTCGTTGGTGCCGGAAGCACGAGAACCACCAAAGGGCTGCTGGCCAACAACAGCGCCAGTGCTCTTGCAGTTGACATAGAAGTTTCCGGCAGCGTTACGGAGGTGCTCCTCGGCGAAGCGGGAAGCTTCACGGTCAGCAGCGAACACGGCACCAGTTAGGCCATAGTCGGAGGTGGTCTCAATGAGCTTGCAGACGTCAGCCATGGCGTTGGGGGCAGCATCGTCATAGATGTAGGTGGTGAGGATAGGGCCGAAGAACTCAGTAGAGAAGAACTTGTGGTTGGGGTTGGTAGTAGCGTAGACAGTAGGGTGAATGAAGTAGCCCTTGGAAGAGTCGTACTTTCCACCGACAACGAGCTCGAGGTCCTTGTCGGACTTGGCCTCATCAATGGCACCAGAGAGCTTCTTGAATGAAGCCTCGTGAATGACGGGACCCATGAAATTGGAGTGTTCAGTAGGGTTGCCAATCTTGATGGCTTCAACCTCAGCGACAAGCTTCTCCTTAAACTCGGGCCACATGGACTTAGGGACGTAAAGTCGAGAAGTGGCACTGCACTTCTGGCCTTGGAACTCAAAGGCACCACGGACAGTCTGCTTGACAGCGTTGTCAATTTCAGCTGTAGGGTCAATCAGGTGGAAGTTCTTGCCGCCAGTCTCACCAACGACACGAGGATAGCCTCGGTATCGGCCCTCAGCGATACCCTGGCCGATGGTACCATACAGCTGACGGAAGACAGCGGTGCTTCCAGTGTAGTGGAGAGCAGCAAACTCCTTGTGCTCCAGAACAACCTTGGTGATGTCTACGGGGTTGCCAGGAACGAACTGGATGACATCCTTGGGAAGACCGGCCTCGATCAGGATCTGGTAGACAAGCCAGTTCGATGCAATGGCGAAGTCACTGGGCTTCCACACAACAACGTTTCCGAGAAGGGCAGGGGCACCAGGGAGATTACCGGCAATGGCAGTGAAGTTGAAGGGGCTGACTGCGTACACGAAACCCTCAAGGGCACGGTACTCGAGACGGTTCCAGACGCCGGGAGAGTTGTGCTCAGGCTGGGTATTGTAAAGCTGCTCAGCGTAGTGAACATTGAAACGGAGGAAATCAGCCAGCTCAGCAGCGGCGTCAATCTCGGCCTGCCAAGCATTCTTGCCCTGGCCGAGCATAGTAGCAGCCATAATATCGTAGCGGTACTTGGTGGAGATGAGGTCGGCGGCCTTGAGGAAGACGGCAGCTCGATCAGCAAAGGGCAGGGCCTCCCAGGCAGGCTTAGCAGCAAGAGCAGCGTCGATTGCGGCCGAAACATCAGCGGTGGTAGCAGTGTGGTAAGATGCGACAGTGGTGGCATGATCGGCAGGGTTCTGCTGCTTGGAGAGGGCGGAAGCCTTGATCTATGAGAATTCGTGTAAGACATAATTCTTGCGGTGGCCTTGACTTATTGAAACTTACCTGCTTGCCACCAACTACAACGGGAACCTCGATGGGCAGCTTCTTCTGGAGTTTCTCAATAGCAGCAGTCAGACCCTCGCGCTGCTCACTACCCTTGACATAGTGGTGGTTGGGCTCGTTGAAGACCTTGGGGGTCTTGAAGGTAGCCAAAGTCGCAGCAGTTCGCATTTGCTGAGTCTGAGCAACGCTGCGGATACCTCGGGCACCAGCCCTGTTGAGAAACATCATAGAAGACATTATAATGTGAGGTGAGGTGAGGTGAGGTGAGGTGAATGTTCTTCGTTATCGGGAGTCGTCGAAGTGGAGGGAGGGGTATCACAAAGGCAAAACACAGTAGCAAAAGACTCTTGTTCGACGACGATCGAAGATGGAAGATGAAGAGAAAGAAAAGAAGACGGGGGGAAGACGCAGAAGATGGGGAGAAGAAATAGAAGATAAATCCCTGGCACGACAACCAACGACAACGATCCTGACTAACAGAAATTCCGATCTTGGAACAGTTATCACGTCTCGAGACCCAGATCTCGCGTAGCAATTCCTCCTCGTCTCAGACAAAAACACTGCACTGCCGTTGCCACGCGAGCTAAGCTGCTCTCCTCACCAAGCTACACACGCCTACAACAGCTAATCTTTGCTATGGTCGCGGCTTATCACGGCCTAAAAAGTGAACGCGTGGGGACATGGCACATGACGTCGCCTGTCTTCCCCAGCTACGGTAAGCCCGGGAATAGAAGCTGATAGGTCAATGGCTCTCTGATGCTGGGGCCGATCTCGGCAGATGGGGCCTGGCATGTTATCTTTGTTTGCCCGCGAAGAGCCGCACCGTACCACTAAAAGCGGTAGTCTCTTTTTTTTACTGTAATCCAGAAGCACATATCGATTTTTTTTACTGGTTTCCAAGAGATTGGAGCAGATGAGGTAGAATTTCAAAGGTCGTGATGGGATCTGCGTTGTATAAAGCATCGTGACTACAAACACTGCTTTACTTTTTCACTTGTATATCCCTTCATATGCCAATATTTACGCCCCTTCTCCCCAGTTCCAGCTCTAAACTAGGTCCACTGGCGTACCTGATAAACTATGGCCGCAGTTTTCCGAACGTGGGGGACTTTGATGGTCATGTGCTATCTCGAATTGGCACAGATAGTGTGGTTCTGTCAATCAAAGACTTTGCCTCATTTGACTTGGGAAGCCTGGGGAAGAAATTTTCCTTATCTATCGTACTTCACAAGACGTGCTTTTGATGGCAGAAGAACACGGCCCAAGACGGATAGTCATGATATAACTAATGCTGAAATACATTGGATTAGGTAAAGAGATTAAAAAAACATGACTCTAGTCAACTCTGCTAACTCGATGCTTCAATGATGCTCTACTAAGACATCTCTCTTCCCCAGATCTGTACAGCCTACTGTTCGCCCAACAACTGATCTTCATGTGCATTTTTATGTCAGGCAATTGCCTTGAACGGGTATAAACAAATGAAAGCTACCCCATCGGAATAGCTCCTCTCTGACTGGTCGACGGACAGTCATGGCTTAGGCACCTCTCACCCCCTCCCCAGGTACTCCCTCACTTGCGTCCTCTTCCAATTCGCCTTCGCAAGCCGCCTCCTCCGGCCCGGCCCCATAATCGTTGGGCCCACCCCGTTTTTGCTCTTCGCAAGCCCGAAACACCGGCCCGAACTCTAACGGTCTTGCGTTTTGTTTGACGGCTCTCCTCCCATTGATCAACCTTCAAGTCCTCCTAATGCTGGCTACCTGACGCGACCGACTCCCTGGGCGTCATGGGCTCGTCTCGCTGTCGGTAGTTGAGCAATGGTACCGTCAAGCCGTACATCTCGGTTCGTCCCTCCTTGTCATGCTGGTTGATTTCCACGTTTATGCATACGTCAAGTGTTCCGTCGTTGGACCTGCCATGGGATTGTCTCGATGCTGCCTTGTGTGTTGTTCCAGCCTGAAGCTCTCCCCTGTGAAGTACCTTATGGCCATCATTGCCCAGAAAGTTCTGCTCTGATGCCTCTGTCCCGTTCTCGTCAACGCTGCCATTGGGGGCTTCCGGGTTGTTGGGCGAGTTTTCGGTAATCGTTGCAAAGTTCCGGCTTGGCATTGTGCAGTGGTTGTGGTTGGCCGTCTTATTTGAGTCGCCCGGGTCTTTGTTGAACAGATCCAACAGGGTCTCATCCGTCTTAGCATTCAAATGGTGGATCTTGTTCCTCCTGGCCAGGAGGTTTGCTACAGCCGTGGGTGGTGGCTTATTGACAATGGCTGACGAGATAACGTTGACCATGTAACGATGGTCCTCCTCGACCGGAATCTTCAGACTTGGGTTGGAGTAGAAACGACCCAGTGCAGCTAGGTGAACATCACCTCCAAGGATCGTCACACGTATGTTGAACTCGGCAGATATTTTTTGAAGTTCAACCATCAGTTCTCGTCTTTCCTTCTTGTGTGTCCTTGCAGTGTAGTGGTCATCCAGATCATCCAGAAGATCGATGCTACCGTCGAACTGGTTGAACAGACTTCCACCGAGCCCAAAACGTTTGTTGAGGATCTTGATAGGACCCATAACAGGACTGCGGAAGATGTTTTCGAGCCAAGTCAAGCGCTTCATCGCATTGTTTAGCTTATTTGCATTCCGACCCACTGGATCTGTTTACTCACGGGATAGGCAATCGGAATTCCGAGGAGGAGAATCAAGTGTTTGATTGACTCTCCTGACGCTGATGCTGCTTCAAGCTCGGAACGAAGCCTTTGGAAGACCTTTTTGTATGTCTCGGGATAATTGATTTGATGACGAGTGCGCTGTACAGTTCATTAGCACCGAGGCTCACAGAAACAGATCCACATTGAACGAACCTCTACTCGAGCGTCAATACCCAGCAGAGCAATACGGGCACCAAGGCGTGTATAGATGTTGAATGAGCGCTCAGCAACGTATGGGCCTGGGTGGTCGCCGACGATATACTCAGGGGACTCAAACATAGGTGCGACATAGGTATCCATCAGTTGGTTAGGATCGGGTCCTTGGCTCGCTTTCTCGAGGGCGGCATGGTCTATAACAGGTCAAAATGAGTGACTCGAGCACGCAGAAAGCGATCCTACCAGAAGTATAAGTCGACGCAGGAGGTGGCATATGATGCTGGAAGAGCATGTAATATTTATGAGCAGTGCCGCCAATACCACGGAATACATCACACTGCATGAAGTTATCGACATAGGAGCCGAATCCGTCAATGATCTATAGCCAATTAGCAGGGCAATCAGAGAGCCAGAGCCGTTTCCGAAACTCACGTCGTGGTCATCCCAGATATTGATCTGGGGAATCTGCCCGTTGACCCCAGCAAAGGGGGCAGTGTTGTACCATCGAATATAGTTTTTGAGGTAGTAGTCGTCGCATTCTGCTCGCATTGCCTCTGGAAACGGGTACTCTCTACGTTTCTTGGGATTGCTAATATCAGTCCACGGGCGGAGAGGGCCATCAACTCTGATGCCGTCGTTGTAGATCTGGTCACCGCCGCCAACCATTACATGAAAAGGAATCTCGCGGTGCTTTCGTGCCACGTCGTTCCACAGCGCCGGTCCGCTCCAAGCCTCCTCGTCAGTTCCAACACTGAAACCGTTGCACGAGTGGAACATGATACGCATGGACTCGGTCTTCGCAGGAACAAAAAACCTGTTAACTCGGGGCTTGTGCTCGGTGGAGAAGCGTAGTTCGGGCAAAGCATATTCATAGCTGGCCTCTGTAGCTTGAATTGGTACACTGATATCGAAAGCCCAGAAGGTGTTACGCGGATCCGAGTAAAGACATTTCCCGTCAACACGTGCCTCCTCTTGAGCCCCATTTGTCGGTTCTTGACTTGCAGAGCCACCCTCTTGGGGCTGAACAGCTTGCTTCAGAGTCAAGTAAGGCTGGTCCAGGGGAACTTTGCCGCCACCTTCGACGACTATGAGAACGCTCCCATACCATCGTCCCTCATTCATACGACGGTAGTTCAGAAGAGGACCACAGACGATGGTCTTCCCATCAGGGGCGTTATCTCCACGGGCGCCTTGGCCAGCATGGCTCTGGCCTACATTGTCGCCAGCAATGCTTCCATTGATATCAGCGGCAGCGGCGGTGATGGGTCTGTACTTTTCCGTATCACGGTTATCGTCTTCTGGTTCAATGCGGGACTGGTTTAGGAAGTCTGCAAGCTCGCCCACATTACCGGTTGTTTGGTGAGGGTCTCGTGGTGCGCCATCGCCAGTGAGCTGCGAAGCATGCGCAGCATAAGCAGATGATTCCTGGTGTCGCCAGCGGCTGGCCGACGCATAAGGATTTCGATGCGACTCGGTAGTCGTAGGTCTGTCTCCCGAGTCCGACATTTTTGTTGTATGATCGCAATTTGGAGTTGAGCGCTGGTCCTCGGGTTCTTGTCTAGGTATGTAGGTAGATATGGAGGCCTCCAGGTTTTGTTGTGGCACAAGATTGGTTGTCGCAATATGCGATCGACAAATTGACGACGCGGTTTATCGCTGAACGCGACAACAGATAACCGTGGAATTGAAGGCGCAAGACTTGTTTATCATCTGCTAAGTCCAAGAAGATTTTGATATGAAAAGTACAAAAGACAATCTGACGATGTTTCGGACAAAAACTCGAAAATTGTACTGATGGCAGAGAAGGCCAACCTAATAAAAAGAAATGTAAGACACCAAGAATGGTACCTACAGCACAGCTGGATGATGACGCAGGTGCAGCCAGAGCACATTGGTGCAGGGGTTACGGGTAGTTGCGATTGCCTGCCTCGATTTACACTACCAATGAAAGTAGGAAATGTACCGAGCACCTTATGAAAGTGGTAGTACCCCTCAGCCAAGCAGAAGAGAAGATGTACCTCATTATGTTAAACCAACGCTGCTTTGACTCCTTCATCAGCTGGTCGCGACACCAACATCGGTCCATTTTCTTGCTTTCCCAAGCAACAAAGCTCCATTCGAGGCACAAGCTAAATTATACCGAAACTGAGATCAGGGAATTGAATGGGATGAGATGGCGCCAAGAAGATAATCATGTCTCTTATTGGTCTATCGGCTATAGTGGACGTGATCCCTTGGATCATCCATGGGAGAGCCAAGACACCATCTGAAAACCAAGCCCCATTGGGATTTGGTGGTTGTCCCCTAGATTAGCTGGCCAGGTTGTGAACTCTTACCAATAGGCAATGGTTGACGGGGTAATGATCCCCTGTGTGAGTGTTCTGCTTCGCGAATTCTGATGACCCAATGGGTAATCATCAATAGTTATCATTTTCTAAAATTCCCGAGTTTTACGAACGATCTAATACGAATCACTTGACAACGGACGAGCTTCAACACGCTGCCCGCTCAGAGAGGATATGAAACCCAAACAACCCACTCTGAACGCCATCCAATCTTAAGCCCAGAGAGATCTTCGCGGCAGTTCATTGGATTGTGTATCAGATTTTATTATATGCATGATCCACTGACTTAGTAGGTAAGTATGAATTTATAAAATATTTCTGGACGAGCTTCGTTATTCTTTCCATTGTCGTATCTGATCTATTTCATCCCTATAAATTTGTATATCTGTTTAAGCTAGTAATTAAGCATGATAGTACATGACGTCATGGTCGTTGTTGGAAGTGCTTTGGCTACCCTGGAATTGCCTGTCTGCTAACGGTTTCGACGTTTTACCTATATGTGTGTAAACAATATTGATACTTCAGCAAAATAGGTAAGGGCAATTGTGTTCACATCATTACCTCGTTGCATTGGTGTTCTGTTGTTTATTTCTCGAACCACGGCATAGTTATATAACCGGTTCAATTTTTACCTTTGGCTTCTGAATGGATGCCTTGTCTAATGCCTACGGAATTTGGAATGAAACCCAATCATGCATGCTCGGTGTTCCCTATCTGTTTGGCAAGCACAACGCGCCGGCATAAAAACTGCATACTACCTGTACTTAGGTAGGTGCATAGCTTACACAAGAACGCGTCAGATGTAAATGTGTCAAGCCAACCTACTACATACCAGCGTTTATTGGAATTCTAATTATCAAGAAACTGAATATGTGGACTGCAGATTCTACTTAGGTACTCGTTACTCCCGTCCTGAGATGCCTGAATCACCATGAAGGCTGCCAATCGTAGTTAGCCCGGGCTCCACATCACGTATTACATAATCAACCAGCCATCTTATCAACCTCGAATTCTCGTGAAAAATTTCAACCTTTCAACATTTTTCGGTGAATTATTCCCCAAGAGTGTCCAACAACTGGCCACCAACAAGCTGCACCACATTATCATTACGATCCATCCTAGATCATCTCTAGATCACAGCATCATGCTCGTCAGAGAGTTCGAACACGAGGAATGCATCATGCGACTCGTGTGGTTCAACTCGACGTCGTGATAGCACGAGATCTTCAATGCGAGTATCTAGGACTCAACCAAGGTTAGTACCCGTGAAACGGTGAAGTGCAGTCGAACTGCGAACGGCATTAGTGTGTACAGCAATTGAGCTCTTCAATGCTCGCCTTGCTGAAGGAAACTTTATCGTGCCAAGATTGCTATTCCCCTACTATTACCAAACACCTCTGCTCTTGTAATCCCACGGACACTGGTGCATGAAGATAGGGGTACATGCCACTATATGTCCCATGTCATTGTCAACAAGTGAAACTTTCCAAGAGAACTACATAGGTTTTAGAAAGGGCGTTTGTAAGGTCAGCCGTATGCCGAGATGGCTGTGAATGAGAATGCCACGCGGGAGAGACTGCCAAGTCTGAGACCATGAACCCTTAATTTGCCAAGTCGCCTCTGCTGTTCCGAGGGTAGAACGGCAGCGGGGTCAATTGATAGGTACGCCGCGTATTGAGTAATACTCTTGAGCCAAGTCAGACAGGCCTTGGTGGGTGGCCATCAAAATGATGAGAATTCCTAATCACCACACGCTTCGGTCTTGGTATTAGTAGGAACATGCGGTGGAAGAGAGGACGACGCCACGTTAGGGGTTGTCCTTGTTGTAAAGCACCAATGCACGGGGTGGTTGGTGCCCACAGGCCCATCAAGTTAAAACTCTGTTTCCCTCGGATTCAGCCGACCAGGGATTCTCATAAGCGCATGTGTTATTCTTATGAGCGTCTGGCTTGCAGGTAGTAGTTGTCCATCTCCTCGGATCAATTGCCCATCAAGGAAATAGCCAGATCCAGCTGAGGGAATCGGGCTACCAAGAGAGCCAGCCGTATTCCGGAGTTGAACAGCATGATGCAGCAAGGGAAATCGAATTGAAGGTTATTATTGCGATGCTGTGATTCCGACTATTTCACACTGTAACCTGCAGTAGTAGTCAGATACTGCTTTACAGCCACAGCCGCAGCCGAGTCGCAGTAAGCACAAGAATAAACTGGGGTTGATAACATGGAGAGTTCTCGTCACCGCCACATTGATATACCCAGATCATAGATGTTCCCAGCGGAAGAGTAGACCAATGGGCTCACCACGTGCCGGTGTATAGAGCAATCTTTATTAGTTATCACCGCATATCAAATGTGAAAAGTTGACCTTCAGCCCTTAGTGTCGACATCCATGTTTAATGATGGGTTAGCGATAATGGTCGAGCGGGAGACAAATTCCCCTGACAGTGAGACAAGACGACTCGAAGAGAAATATTTTGGTGGAACAACCCCCCCCCAACAGCGCTTGTTCTCAGCTGTGAAATTACCATGTGCCGGATCAGTATTTGGTGTGGTCATTGAGCATTTAGCATATAGTGTCTAAGCCTGATTAAGTAAGACACCTTAATCATATTAAGGAACGTCATTAACACGTTATACCTTATTGACAATGGATACATTGAGGTACTTTGGGTGGGGGGCCAGAGAAATGAGCTCTCCTTTGTATAATGTCCATGGACGGACAAAAGGACCCCTTGCTCGGAGTATGAGCCTTCCGAAATCCGTATCTTATCAGTTTGTGAATATGTATGTACTCGATGATGAGCCAACCAATGATAAATTTACTGAACATGTACGGAGTAAACAAGTCGGGAATGCTGAACTACTGGGGAAACGGCTTTCGAGACTGGTCATATAACAAGCGACTAAAAGAGGTCTATGTTATGGCCGGCGGGTACGGATGATGATGAGCGAATTGATTGGATTCGTTGCCGCTTTTAAGGGCGGCTGTATTGTTCAGTTCTGGCCCAGCTGATACTGAAGTGATTTCTCCATTGATAATACGATTTGAAGTCTGTTCTGCCATTGTATAAGCTTATGGACTTCCTTCCCTTATCAGTTGGAGCTGTCCGTGTGGTCCACAATCTCGGCCATGTCCAGAGATTCCACTTCTGAGGATTTTTCTTCTTCTTAGCTCTGCTTAACTTTGCACATGTCAAGTTCATCGATCTGATGTCTTGGAAAGGAATCACGAACCATGGTATCGATATAAGATTGTCTACATACCTGACCCTAGCTATCAGTACGCATCCTTCAGTAGAAAGCTGTAGATCTCAACCCCAGATAAAGCCCGTTGCTGTGTCCATCTCAGCCACTGCTTCCGTGTACTATGTAAGACCACCAGAGTCAGCCTCAACGGTATAGCTCCACTGTCGGTTGTCATGGCCCTGGCTCAGTCATATCCACCAACTAAAACCTCAGCCCAACAGCGGTTGACTGACAAATTCATGGCAAGCCCAGACTATTTCCCATTTCGCGCTTAGCTGGCGGCAACAATATGAGTTACGGGGGCTCTATTACTTTGAATCGTCGATCTTGACTTACCCTCTATAGTGAGGAAAGCTTGATAGCATGTCACTGAAATACTTGGGAAAAAAACATGTATGTACTCGAAACATCCGTTTCAGAGACTCGAGGATGATAATACAGGATCCTGCAATGCTTCTTATAGAAACTAGCCACTCGCCAGTAAAAGCGGGATACATGTGATCATTTCGAGGCGTGTCATCAATTTGTAATGAGACACCAGTTCTACGCCTCCTCCACCGCCATCGGGAGGTTCCTCGTGGGGATAAATTAGCCATGTTATAGCTAGGTCATGGATAGCAGTGAGACCGCAAACATGGCACAGATCGGAATAAACTTGGATCGTGATGATCGAAGCATGTTGTTATGAGCTACATGGTGCATCTCACTGCATCTCATTGCTTCGTTGTCAATGCCTACAGGGCATTTGGGGGTGGCATTCGGTTCTGTCTGCCCATCCGTGCCTTTTCAGCTCTGTTATACCGCCAGGCTTTGCACCCCTGGCTTTGGTATAGAGGTCAAGTGTGGCAGAGCAACGAATCGTATCTCCTCGACATGAGGACAGCGCACTAGCTATCCTGCAGGCTGTTCATTGTGC